TGCTTGCGAGTGAGTCATATTTGCTTCCTCAAACAAACAAACTCCAGAAGTGGGAGCTCTCAGTACGCACTTTTGATTGGACGCTGGTTGCCGAGGTGCTGGGGCTTGCCTTTGCCTTTTGCAGAAGGAGGGAACTTTAAAAGAGACAGCTGCTTTAATCTTAGTGCAGAGATTAAAAAAAATGCAGAGGAAAGTGGATTTTATGTTCAAGAAAAAGAGAGATGCTGCAGATGATGATAGTGTGGCATCAGAGTAAGTTGAGGAGCAGAGCGGGGAAGCAGCAAAGCTACCCATGTTAAACTTGGGTGCAGTACAGTACCTGCAAGACCCCAATCCTACTTTCACCCCTGAATATAACAAAAATATCCTGTATCATAAGCGTAAATGAAGGCTGTTTTTCCAATCTTTTATTATTTTAGCTCACAGAAACCAAAAAGACGTTTTCGACCAGCTGGACTGGATTTTAACTTTGTTCAGCCCGACCCTCTCCGTCTGAAGCAGGACGGAGGTCACCTCCTCTGACTCTCTGGGTGTCAAAGATCAGAGCATCATGTGTGATTTGGTGTGTCTTACTGGAAGGTGCTGCGTGACAAACCTCCAGTGGCAAAGATGGCGACACAGCGAGAGAAACCACATTCTGGTGCGAGAGGGCGGCCATGCCACCTCGACACAAACACACAAATGGCGGTCTTGATTCTGACTTTTCGGGAGTCGTTGGGACATCTCAGCTGTTAATTCCAGAGTGCGAACTAACAGAAATACAGATCTCCAACATTCCTTGAAGGTAACACCTCTATCTCAGTCCGAGCTCAGACCAAAAATAGAAAAGGCTAATCCCGACTGAGGAAGAACAAAAAGAGATTAAGATAAAGGTGGGGGAGAAATGGCGCACGAAAAAGACAAAGGAGTGGCTGCAAAGAGGCTTATGTGCAGGACGTCACGTCTTTTTCTGTGCTTTATCTTTTAGTCGGTATTAAACAGAACGTCAAAGACTTCTTCTTCTTCGTTAAGTTCGCGTGGGAGGAGTTGTGACACTGACCTTTTTAAACTTTTGCCTCCAAACCCACTGCTCTAGATGTTTTGGTTCCCCCTCTGAGCACATCGCACCCTTTCCAAGAAAATGTCGAGCGTTTGCTATGTTTGCAAACACTGAGCTCCAACCCTGCCGTTTCATATGTCTGTGTGAAACATACTGAACATATATACTGTACCTCACCACCCCCAGCACCCCGTGTTCCTCTAACACAACAGGAGACTGTCCTCGTTTTCTACTGCCTTAAAGACCCACTCCGATGAAAATCGTGTTTTTCTTGTTGTCCGCATGTTCATATGGCATTTTTCTGATGCTACAGGACATATCATGAGAAAAATAAGTGCGAAAAATGCATTTTTAAGTCTTTCTGCATTGAAATTACTGTGAATCTTGAGGCTGGACATGTCTACCTTTCATCAAAAATGGAGTTTAAAGAGCTTGAAGCTTAATAAACAGACTATGTGGACGTCTTTGTTAACCACTTAAAAAATAAGGAGCAAGAACTGCCCCCTGTGTTTCTTTGTTCCCTTTACGTTTCTTTTTTTCTCTCTTTATTTTTGAGAAAAAAGAAAAACTGGTTGTAGAGAAATAATTGTCTCGAACCTTGCTATACTGAAAAATAAAGTAAAAAATTAATAAAAAATCTCTGTGAATCTCCCAAAATGGACACAAACAGCTGATTCAGACACAGTGAGATTTCCTATGTCACAACTGCAAGCCCCGCCCCCAGAGCCCAGCTATGCAGGCCAGACTCAGAGAAGTAGAGAGGACGATCATGGAACAAGCGTGTGTGTAAGCGGATTGCAACGTTCGTTAGAAAGTAAATTATGATATTAACTTTCATCATGTCACTAAAGACGTTAGTGTCTGAGAGCTGAATAGTTCTTATGTTACCTGCTTCTTCAACAACAATGACAATGTTAGGCTACAAGCTAGCATGAAGAGGAGCACTGTCTCCGCCCACGACTCAGAGGTGAATTACTAATGAGTTCCTGGAGCTCTGCAGAAGAAAAGTCCTTGAAAATGACACAGGTAACGTGATTTTGGCGAAAAACTTCATAATTACAGTTTAAAGACCACTGAGACACTTTAAGTAAAAAAAAAAGATCGGAGCGGGACTTTAAAAGTAGAAGACTCACATTAAAAACATGCAGCCAGAGGTTGAAAAATCTAAATTATACTTATTTATACTGGCGTACTTCAGGGGTTATTTCTGGGCCCTCTTCTTTTCTCCATTTTTCACGGTAAAGTAAACAAAATAGTGATTAATATCTTTGCTTTGTGTCACTTTGCCTAGAAGTCCAGATTTTGATTGTTTTGGATTTAACTTTGACATAATTTTAATTAGCAAATATTAGCAGTTATCCCCAGTTATGCACACATGTGGGACAGTGAGTCATAAAGTCACTTGAGTCATGATTGAAAGTCGTGCATTTGCTGGTCTGCATGTCTCTTCCTGATAGCTGACACTGTGAGAGGACAGTTAGGCATAAATGACGGAGAAAATGTATGAATAAATAAGAGGAAGAGACAGCATGTGCCCGTAACACATGTCTCATGTGTGTATATCAGGTGTGTGCAAACTCTGTTTCTCTGAAATACAAATGTGTGAGAAGAAACAGGGGGGGTTATTTGGCACATTAGATTGGTTTACTGTGAAAACAACCACATACTCTTTCTGTGAAACCTTTAAAAAGTCATAAAGGTCACGTCTCACTAAATATATACTTTTAGAAATCTAAATGATAGATGTTTGATCGTATTTGTCAGGTAGGATATCATACACCAATAAAACAAGGACATGATTAAAGGCTGCACATCCGCACTAGCTGTGTGTTTTAACTTTATAACACTCACTCTGACTCTTTTATGACGCTCTCATGTCAACAATCATCAGTGGCGGCGTTCCTGGGATAACTTCCTGTAGATAAGACGAGATTTGACAGTGTCCGCGTGTTGGTGACTCACCATGTTTATAACCGTTGAGAGGATCCCAAACAATGAGCTTTTGCTGGAAATGATTCATGCTTGAACGGACTGTTCTCTTTAATGTTCAGCTGGAAAAGTTTAGGAAATACTTGAATTCCCAGCAGATTGTTGCAGAATTCACTGCGATAAGGTCTCATTGGTACGTGATATGGAAATAATCAGCTGTAATTCTTCTGATTGTTATTTATGTTTGTATCTGACTCTGACAAACTCACCCTCAAAGTCTACAGTGAAAGTTCTCTGGGTGTGGTTCTCCATGCTGTAACTCGAGCCCCACATCCTTCTCTCCACCCAAGAGCAACCCTGAGTCAGTATTTCATCACGCAGCGCCCTGACATCAACGCAGCAAGAGTTTAACTCACACTTATAACCCTCTGCACCAGATTCAACCAAAACTAGCCACCGACAAAAGCTGTGCAGCGAGAGGTAATCCGGAAATATTGACAGGAAAATATCCTGCTTATCTTACGCATTTAATCCCCTCGTGTGCAATCAGCTATTGTCTCCCTGATTGCAAAGAGGACAGAGTTTTTATTGACTCACATCCCAGTGTCAATATTGTTCTAACACACCTGGGAATGGATCACGTCACAACTTGAATTTGCAGCAGGTTGAGTCGCCGTGATGCACTGTTGACAGTCTGGGAAAATGTTGCCTCATGTTCGATCTCGTTTAAACTCTAAACTTTGAACATTTTAGCCGCTTAGATATCTGCAAAAGAAAACCCAAACAACACATCGACAGATAAACATTAAACATCACGAAACCACTGCAAAGACTGTACTTTTAAAATTGGTTACCTCTATTATTTAAACGGGTTAGGTTACTGCTTTTATATATTTTTATCAACTTTTATAGGTTTTTAATTCTATTTATGAAACAGGCTGTTTGATATTCACTCTTGTTTATAATTCATCATCCGTACTTCGGTGTCTTTTATTTGTTGTTCTGCCAAGCTGCTTTATGCAAACGCTCCTTTAGGGATTAATAAAGTTACGTTTATTGAATTTGATTTATCGCACCCATTTTTTTAAATTGGAGCTTTTATGTGTTTTGGCTTGTCCTCCACCAGTCGGTCACATACCTGTTCGGTGACGCTGAGCCACAAAAATTCCAGCTGCTCAACCGACGATCACCGAATCGGTAACTTATTGCACAGAGTAACGTTTTAACACACACGGGCACGGATTGTTTTAATGCACGAAAAGACGCTGTGTGGTCTCTCATCTTCTGCAGGGTTTTAGCTTTTCTTTGCACAAAGTGTAATTCAGCCATCAGCAGATCATATTTTCATCTGCTGTAAGTAGACGGTGCATGATTTCACTCTCAGCCTGAACTTTGCACAATCATCTTTATCCATCAGCAAGTGCAGACCTGAAAAACTGCGTGGTGAGGCGAATCAGGAAAGCTGTAATAGAGGAAATCATTTTAGCGCTCATGGTCTGCATCTCTGTTTCCACTTAAATGTGTTTGTAAAGTCTCTTATATAATCTTAATTTTGACGGCAGGATTTTTAGAGTCTCCAATCTTTGTCTCACTTCTCTTCAGGGATCAGACGACTTATTTCATGCATACCACCGCATTTTACACACTGTAATAACAATGCTGCATGTATGACATACCTTTAAATCCTGCAGTAAAAGCATGCTTATGAACCTCTGCATGCTCCAGTTCCTACTATCTTATGGACCCCCTTCGGACAAAGCTGGTGGACTTAAAAATGTGTGGCAGACACACATCAGAGACGACAGTAAATCCCTCTGACGTAAAACCGATACCTGTAAAAACATTTGACAAGAAAGCATAGTTTTCATTTTGAAAGACTTAGCCAGAAGGAAATTTGTACATTATTGCACATGCAGGGTCCAAAAACTCAGACAGGGGCTCATAATGTGGATCCACAGAGGAGGCAAAAACAAAACAAATGAAGATGGGACCTCTAATGTCGTGTTTGTTCACCTTAATGCGCCGTCTTTCCCTCAGGTGCTTTAATCCGCTCATAACCTGGCACGACTCGGCGCATTATCCTCCATCTAATGGAAGTGACTGTGTGAGGAATAAATAACCGAAGAACAAAGACAAAAGAGAGAAAGAGACACAGTTTGTTTACAGGTGTGGTGCGCTGTAATGTTTCTGCTCCGCACTTCCCAGAAATCCCTCATCACTCTGTCTGGAAACCACCATGAAGTTCTGTCGGGTTCTGTCATGGTGGCCGGCTCTTCTTCTGTTTACACCAAAATATGAAACATGATAAAAAAAAAATCTTCCTCTGCCGCAGAAATGATTCAGACACTGAGTGAAAGATTAGAGGTGGATTAAAGATGAAACAGAGACGAGGTTTTCGCTGTGTCATCGTGTCTCATCGCATAATTATACAACGACAATGAAGAGTCTGAATTCACTTCGACTAAAACTTTATCAAATTTACATCATTGAAAGTCAGTATGTTGGTTTATACAGTAATTAGTTAAAATATAAAACTGGTGTAAAGGCATGGTTGACGATTGGAGAGATAGGTAATTATAATGAACCTTGTTTCTATGGCGATCATGGTCCTATAGTGCGATCTCCACAAAGTGAAGAGAAAAAAGAATGGAAAAAATCCGTTCACACTAGCAGGTGCAGGGCTGCAAAAACACTGACCAATAGGAGCCATCCGTCCCGGACAGCTCCTATTGGTCAATCTCCTGCTCCGCCTCTCCATGTATTCGACGCCCCTCTCGTGTAGTTCTGACTCGTCCTCTCCCACTCCCACTCTCCCGGCCCTCCGCGGAGCTCTGAGCGGCTAAAAGTAGCATAGCAGCTTAGCTACAGGAGCTGTGATGGAGAAGGACGCAAAAATAACACTTCTGCTCGCCCCACCGCCAAAAGTGGGAGGAAAACGCAAGCCGACAGAAGAAAGGGCGGAGTCGGAGAGGAAATGGGACCAAATAAGGAATCTAACTCGAATAAAGGTCATCCTTTGAGCGGTGGAGAAATCTCTGCCAGGATTTGGTCCTGAAAACAGACGCAGAGACAGCAGAGTTTTAGTTGAACAGGTCATTTTTATCACCTTTTATCGTGGCACATGTTACATAAATAACTCTTATTAGTCTCTGTAATGTCAACACGGTAGCTGTCACTACCAGAGCTGGCGTTTACTGCCGCTACTCACAAACAATCCGACATGGTGAATCCTATTTGAAGCTAGCGTAGGATCTTCTGCCGGCCGGCTTCTTGCTCTGTCGGGGGGGGATCGTGGGGAGGGCGTTACAGGTTCAGGTACAGGTTATTGTGGAGCAGAGAGGGGAGAGGTTTGTGTGTGAGGGGTGGGACGCTTTTTTTAAATCTGCCTCAACGACTCAGTTTTTTTTTTTCTTTGTGTGATCCAGAGTTCACTTCCTGGAAGCTGAACAGTACAAACGTGTCGCTAAGAGACCGAGTTGTAAACAAAACCTTGACTGAGCACAAAAGTATAAAACAATACGTATTGAATCAAACACAATAAAAGGTCCGTCCTGTTGCTCACGCCCCTTTAAACGCAGCCGCCACTATTTTATTTATTATGCCTTTATTTGGAGCACCTTTAAGCGTCCTGTTATCCACTGTGTGTTACTGCGCTGTATAAACTGTTTGCTCCAGAAATTCCTGTAAACAGGAAATAGTATTTGATCCCGTCATATTTCCACGCTGCTTGGATGGAGTCGGCCATTACTCACGGGTAAACGTTTGACCGTCGGCGCACAATAAAGAGAGCTGCTGCAGGATGTAAATAAAGGATGGAAAGAGTGAATTTAGATGTTTGTTCAGGGGGAATAAAATTCACAGTAAACATCACAGCTCATATTTCAAACTACAGCAGGACAAAGTCCAATTTTAAGACAGATTTTAAAACAAAAGTTATTTTGTAAGAAGCACAGAGGATTATTATGAGCATTTGTTCATATATTAGAATTCTTTAATTGACACCAGCTGAAGAAAAGTTAATCCTAAAACCTCCAGAGTAAGTCCAGATTACTGTAAAGGTGTAATTTTCCACTCTCCTTTTGGTCGGCCATGTTTAAATCTCAAATCCCCGTTAATGAAGGGACAATAAGCCGTATGAATTAGGAAACAAACGTGCACGAAAAACATTTGGTGTCAGGGTTCAGAATTAAACAAACAGGAAAAGGACTGAAAATTCAGAACAACAAAAGATTTATTTTAAAATAACTACATTCAAAAAAAGGGGGGAAAAAAAGAGGAAAATCCACAAAAGAAGCAAAAAATCACCAGAGACACAAGCGTGCAGACACCTCGACATACAGCTACACAATGAACCAGAGAAACAGGGGAAGACAAGGACTATATACTCACACAGGGAAACGAGCAACAGGTGAGACACTGAGACACAAGTGAGGACAATCACAGAAGAGGGACTAGAGAAGACTAGAAACTACCACAAAATAAAACAGGAGACACTGAGAACATGAGGGAACTGGGGTCAGGAACAAACTGACAACTCACAAGACTGGACTACAGGGGGAACAGGAACACTCGGGAAAATACACTCAAATGACCAAAACCAGATTAAAACTAAATATTAGAACATATCACGACACTTAGACATGTTTAAAATCAGCCCTTCGATGTTTGAAACACGAAGAATATATTTGCTTTTAGGAGTTTAAATACAAAACTGTTCCCAGTGGAAAACTATGACCTAAAAGGGAATTACCATCTTAATATACTCGAACTCACACTCTCTACATGTCACCTCATAAAACAGACCTCTTATGCTGATCTTCACTTAAATACACACATACTGTATGTACACAATGTTGGATAGACACACCAAACTGCAGTCACAATAACATGATACATGCTGAGCCATCTTCTGCCATAACCTAATATATACCAAAGTGGCTAAATGGGGAGCTAATTAAACGGCTAGCCTCCCACATTTTCTGGTTGTAGCTGTAAAACTGTGTAAAAAGTAAAACCAGTAAGCCTTTAACCCTTGGTTCCTACTATGTCCGTTTTAAGGGACATTTATCATTTTTTTTCCTCTTTATTTTGAGCTGACAGTCACACTTTTAAAGATTGGGGCATCAAAAAGAGATCTTATTTTTCTTCATATCAAAAAAAAACTCGGTGTCACCTGTAGTTCTCCATCACCGCATTTTAGCTCCATCCAACCAACTTTGTCCGTAAATCGGACAATAGACTTCCATTAAAAACACGTTTTTTGACCGTGTGTTTATGGCACCATAACAACATATTAAAACCTTCTTTTTGCAGTCAGTCGATCACCAGGGCTCTAAATTATCCTTCCCACAGTGATACAACAGATTGAGCCAGCACGTAATTTTAACCCCTTCTGTGCCGCACACGCAAGTCTTCATTAATGGACTGAGAGAGTTTGAAGCGCTCATGAAATATCATGATTTTGTGTTTTAAATAGCAGTGACATGGCGCACAAAAACTGGTATAAAAAGGGTAATACATCGAATTTTCTGTTCATTATTTTTTTAATGACCAGGATTGAATTTGTTTAAGAGATTTGAGTTTAAAAAGTGAAAAAAAAAGTTAAAAAATGATTATTTTATGAGAATTTATCTGCATGTCCATTTTGAGGACAAGAAGACTGGATGGAGCTTCAAATGAACAGGAACCGAGTGTTAAAAACCGCTGAACGCTCTTAACCTGCCGTCTCTAAGTTCATATTAGCATACTGTAAGGTTGTCCGAAGGGTTAAAAAATTGGGCTCAAAGTTAATCAGTCATTAAAATACCTCTCTCTTCAATCTGTCTTATTCTCTTAATGCGGTTATGTATACAAACATTGTTTTAAGCCAATGAGCCGCTGAGTATTTACAGAATTCTCACCTGGAGGCCACTTTGGCTGCAAACAAAGACGTTTCACACACTTTGTTCGTTGGTTTTTTAAAGAGGGTAATAAAGCGAGATAAATGTGCAATAAATATGATAAAGTCCCTCCGATAAAGTGCTTTAAAAAACATAAAAGTGTGACAAAAACAAGTGCAGGAGAGATAAGGGGTCGTAACACGGCTTATTACATCACGTTACAACTTCGTCTTTTACCCAGAGTTGATTTCACCGAAAAACAAAAACAGCTGTTTGCCAAACGAGGAGATAATTTTCCTGGCTTTTGCAACATCAAGATATTTAACCAGTTTCAGCAAGAACCGGAGCAGCACACGCAGTCCCCAAGTCAGGAGAGTTATGCAACACAGTTGTAGCTTGAATTATGCAACACAGATGGTTGCAACAGAAAGAGATGTTTGGTTTTCGAATCCTACCTTTCTGGGTACCTGACCAAACACAAACATGAGAAAGTAATCCTGCTTCTATCAATAAATAAAGCCGTCGATCGATGGGGGACTAACTCAAGTGTTGGACTGGAGGTTACATAAAAAGGAAAAGGTCAGATAGCTTCAGTGTTGCAGCCATGTGACTATTAGTGCTTTTAGGATCATCGTCAGCGCTGAGATACAATCAAAACAAACTTTATTTTCTACAAACCAAAGTTCTGATGATCTGTGTCTTTGAAACTCTTCCCTGCACAGCTTCGTTCACTGATATACTGTACGTGATCTGTGCAAATGAGGTCAAAACCTTCAAGAGTGGAGTAAATGTAAGATAAGGGAAAATAACTTATCATGAGTGTGTGTGTAATGTTTTTCTGCACATATGTCGGTGAAAACATCAACACTGCAAATGTCAAAACATGCAGTTTTGAGGTCCTTGGTTGCAACTTAAACACTCACTCCGAATAAAATCATGTTTTTCTTGTTGTCTACATGTTTATATGTCATTTTTCTGATGCTACGGGACATATCATGAGAAAACTAAGTGCTAAATTGCATTTCTGAGTATTTCTGAGTATTCCAAATGGCAGGCTCAGTGAGATTTCCTACATCACAAATCCAAGCTCCGCCCCCAGAGCCTCGCTATGCAGGCCACACTCAGAGAAATCGAGGACAATCGCGGAACAAGCGTGTGTGTAAGCGGATTGCAATGCTCGTAAGAAAGCTAATTATGATGTTAACTTTCATCATGTCCAAGAGCCGAATAGCTCCGATGTTACCTGCTACTTCTACTTCACCAGGAATGTTAGGCTACAAGCTAGTGTGAAGAGGAGTGTGCAGAGCAGCGCTGTCTCCGCCCACGACTCAGAGGTGAATTGCTAATGAGCTACTGAAGTTCTGTAGAAGAAAAACTTTTAAAAATGACACAGGTAATGTGATTTTGGCTAAAAACTTGTAATAATAATAATAAAAATAAATAAATAAAAATCGGTCAGAGTGGGACTTAAAGGATGCACTCACCAGGTCTGCAGCTGTTGCATGGATTGCAGGACAGGAAGTTGATCCTCGACTTGATGGTTGGGGACCTCTCACTCTTCAGGCTGCTGTCTCTCTGTATTTTCATGCATGTAACTGTAACAGACTTGAATGACCACAGACAGTGGAGTGTAGACATAGATTTTCTGCACATGCACGATCCAATAAAGTCAGAAGAAAAGGAAACTGTAAACGAACCCATATCTACAATAATCTACGCAACAATGTGATTTGTGGTCTTTTAAACAGTGTGCAACTAAAACTAGAGGCAGTTTAAAATGTTTTTCAAACCGAAATCACATAAAGTGTCACTTCTGTTAAGCTTTTTATGCAAGATATGATCTGCTACTGTTTCAAATAGCTGCAAATGAATGTTTTTGCATTTTTTAAAGATATTTTTCAGACATATTTTCTCTGATTTCTTGCACAAAAATATGACAGTCTCCGTCTGCAGTATGTTTAAGGGAAGGAGGGTAAAGATGTCCTCAAAGGTTGACAGCTCGATGGATGGATCTGTCAGTTCTTGGATTTGAAGTCTGTGTGTTAGATTTTCTAACCCTGCTTTCTTGTATCATACGTTACATAACTGTGCCACAGTCTGCAGCGCTCGTCTGCACCTGGAGAGCCACTGCTGCTTTCTCACTCCCCCAGAGAGTCTGCAGTCTCATCAGTTTGGAGGTAATGAGGACACACTGACACCAGTATCAGAGTATTTATCATACTGCACAATTGAGACAAATCTCAAAGCAACTGTTGACCTGGTTTTCAGGTCGTGTGAGATCTGCAGCAGATGTTTTTTCTGACTTTTTTTGTGTGTTTTGATTCTTTGCATTAAAGTGCATGCAAATATGCAAGAATGCACGGTTAAAAAATGGCAGCTGAGAGCTCCGGTAAATATGCAACAGTTGGAAACGCTTCGCAATTCATCACAAACACCGTCTAAGGGCGGCTGCGTTTGTTAAAATCACTCACAGGTTAACTATGAACAGGTGGAGCGCTTATTCAACACCTAACCTGAGTGAGTCAGCAGAATTCACTGAACTCTGCTCTGGTTGATATCTCAAACAACTCATATCAATATTTTAACAGACTTATCATCAATATTTTAAAACTCAAAAAGGAAATTTTCAAAAAATACAGTTGGTTTATTTCTCCATTTATTAATTTCGTCTCTCAGTTTGTTGTTCTGGACTTTTAATCGGTGTACTCAAACTCTGATCAAGCAGCTGGAAAGTAATGACAGCCTTCAGTGTTTGTATTTTTGGTGTGGCAAAAGTTATGTCAACATTATTCATGTGGATCACGAACTGGATCTCTTATGAAGTTTTATTTTTTCAGGGTTTCTCTGTGTTTTTGACGCTGTTTTCTGCACAATACATACAAATGCATGCTGAATTTGTGCGCATTTAATCAGAAATTCTTCCTTATTTCATGGATAACACAGTGATCAATAAGGTGATGAGTCAAAGGACAATAAAGGAGGCCAGTTTGGAGTCTCGGGTCTGTTTGATAGTCCACACAGGAGTCAGATTTGGGTCGAGGAAGGTCTGAGCTGCCTTCTAGTGAATTCACATCGAGCTGAAAACAGGTCAGACCTTCACGAATAAACTCTCCGGCTTTCTCAGAACTCGCCATCAAACTCCAGACGCTCTCGGTTACACTGACTCAGTTCACCTCTGTTTGGACCGTGTTTACTTTCGGGGCTGTGTGATTGTGGGAATTCAAATGCAGGAAATATTTCCTTTGTGCGTTTCAGCCGCGAAAATACAGGAAAAGAAGATGAAAAGCAAAAGTGGATCTTTGTTTGACTGACAAAGCTTGTAATTGCAGGTTAAGCGGCTATTATTACAGCGTGTGTACGCACGTGGATTTAAAATGAATCCATCCTTTAAAAAAAGAGAGATCTCCAAAAGCCTGTGATCTAATAAAAGTCATAATTATTACTTGTGTGTGGCCGTGTTCGCCTAACGTCACGTAATCGACTTTGGGAAAAATCCCAGCCTCCCACAAAGAAAGCTTTTATTTTTTATTTTTCGAGTGTTTTTCCTTTTTTCTTGGCCGACAAATTCAAAACTGAAACATTACATAAGATTATCCCACAGACCCGTCAAAGTCACATCTCTTCGATCAGCAAGTATAGCATTACTGTAGATGGAGAAATGCAGGTTAGCGTGCAAACTAGAAGTCAATAAGTCATATGTATAGTGTCGCACCGCTTCACCAAATACCTGCTCCCATAGTAACACACATGCACTACAAACCGTGTTGACTCGCCACAGTTGGAAAGTCATTTCCAAGAATAGCTGCTCTGTACTAAAATGACCCCGCTCCGCTCGGGCTCTGCAGAGAGCCGGGTCTTCAAAGTTCATCGAAAAATGGAGGAAAACTCAAGATTTCTGCAAACTCAGCGCCCATTAGCCGTCTCCTCTGAGGATACTCTGAGAAAAAGCGTGTCCGCAGTTTTCTCCGTCTTTAAATTAGTTAAACAAAAGCTGCAGATGGATGTTAAACAGATGTTAAACCGGCTGGTTTTGTGCAAGAAGTGAATAAAACTGAAGCTTAGCCTGAAAACTCAAGAGTGACAGAGTCCGAGAAATTTCCCCTCATGGCAAAGAAATACAATTTTACAGAGATTATGTGAACAAGAACCTTCATCTACCTGACTGAAATGAATCAACAGTTTACAGGTTTGTGTGATGTGTGCAGTGAGAGTTTGAGTTCAGTCTAAACCACTTCCTTTTTTCCAAATTCAACTGTTGTGCTTTTAAGGAAACAATGACTGGGCTGCAGCACTCGAGTCCAACTCAAGTTCTGGTTTCTGCGACTTGTGACTAGACTCTGACTCAAGTTTCGACCAATTTAAGACTTTTAAGTTTGTTTGTTTTTTTGCTCTACGCTTCCAGCACACATCGATCCAAACAGTGAAGATCATCTTAGACAGGAAGTCAAGCACGAAGACCACGCGTGTCATCTGGTATTTCAAAATGAAACGCTGTATCGGGACTCCTGACTGTCTTTAAGGAAACAATGACTGGGCTGCAGCACTCGAGTCCAACTCAAGTTCTGGTTTCTGTGACTTGTGACAAGACTCTGACTCAAGTTTCGACCACTTTAAGACTTTTAAGTTTCAAACATTCTTCAGTGATTGGAGGCAAGAGCAGAGCAGGACATAATAACGATACAGAGCAGAAGTCCACCTCTGGTCTTTGCAGACGCTGTGGTTCTGTCGGCGTTGAGAGGCTGGGATGAGAGTCAACCATAGACTGTATATACTATGGACAATTTGGCTCCGCCTCCTGTCTTTATACGAATGTGAAGCCATATTGCTTCTGGTATTGCCGAGATTTTCTCCACTTCCTGGAACCACCACTTGTGCAATAGCGTTGTACACATTCAGCGGGAGAGTTGCTGTGATGACGCTCGGCTCAAACAGCGGGTGAGCTACGTAAGACTATGGGCTGTATCAGGTGTCAATCATTGGAAACATGAACCCCCTAATAACTTTTAAAAATGGAGCTGTACAGAAAAAAGAGGACTTGAGCACAAACCAGTCTGACAGTAACTACATGTCAACATCACAACCAGGGGGGAGAAAAATTTATATTCTGTGTAATAAATGTCTAAAGTTTGTCCACAGCTCCATAGGGATCGCTGGAGGAGGATTTATGACCTATACTTCAGCCCATCACCAGAGGGTGCTGTTCTTGCAGTGGCTTCACCCAGCAAGCAGGAAAATGGCGTTCATTCTAGATACAGTCTATGGAGTCAACACCCCTAATCCGAGGTCATGGGTCTCTCTATCAGAATAAGACGGATTTACTCTCTCTGTGTAGGAAGATGCGTCTTTGCCCAAAGTGAAGGAGTTCAAGTATTTGAAGTATTCATGTCGAGATGGTCCAGGTGCAGCTAGTTAAGGGAGAGTCCGCGTAGAAAGTCTAGGGCTGGTTGGATGAATTATGTGTATCCCATCTGGTCTAGGAGCGCCACAGGTGGAGCTGGAAAGAGGGAGGTCTGGGTTGACTCGCTGAGACTCTCCCTCGAATAATCAGAAGAAAATGGATGACTGGACAATGATGATTTCACCCAGATTATCAGGACTAAACGTGGACCTGACTTTAGGTTCTCTTTGGTAACTCAAACCCGGCTTGGACTCAACCTTTCCCGCTCCTTACACTTCACAGGAAAAGTAAGACATGCACACACTCAGCGGGGGCTTCAAACATACACACGTGCTCAGACATGCACATACATACACACACAGCCGTGTCTACATTACCTTTGACCACTTCCTTCTCTGGAAACGACTTTTCTCAATCTCTATTCCTCTTTGCATCAGCCAAGCAGACACAGAGGAGTTAATGCCTCACCTTTCACTGGAAACCTGTGACCACCGTCTTTTTAACCAACTCCTGACAACCTGAAGGTCTTCATGAATAAATTAATGTGGTCTAACGGTAAATTTACATATGTGCAGACTGTTTAACAAGAAAAGAGAAGTTTGGGTTCACATTTGCTCATATTTTCCACTGCGTTGTGACTGTCAGACTTTCTGCTGATGGACCTCGATGTTCAGGGTTTAAACTAGCGAAAGGTAAAAGTTGTTGTCAAGTCCTATTTATCATCACATCAGCCTCTCTTACTATGCCGTCCTGATCTTTTATCAGAGCTGTGAAGAGTTTTAATCCTCATTGTTGCACAGAAACCAGTTTTGGTCACGGATGGTACTTCTGTGACCTTCAGCCCTCCTGGGCCCCTTAGCACCGCCTCTTCCCGGTATCAGGTCTGTTTGCGTCCTCTTCTCAGGAAACTGTCACGGCAAAGGCATTTCAATGCACTTCCTGAGTTTGAGGGACATGACCAAAGTGAGGCAAGCAGAAACACGGAGAGCAGACAGGAACTCGGAGGTTATCCTGCAGAGACCAGAGCAGGTTTTTCTCTCTGTGTTTCACAAAAGTCTGTCCTCAAACAAAACGACGCGGCAGAAACTCAGAGGTCACTCTTTTCAGAGTTTAATTCGGTTTTTACAGATGTGTCCAAGAGGAGCGGGAGGATGTGATCTCACCAGGTTGGTTGACATGGCAACAGCAGACATGTCACATGTGTCCTAACCTTTCCGTTATCACCTGA